GTAGGATGAACAGTTGAGGGTGCTAGATGTGTCTAGTTTAATGAAAAGAAGGACCAGGGAAGATGTGATAGCAGGGTTCCAATATCTCAGGGGTTGCCACAAAGAAGAGGGAGTCAAACTATTCTCCAAAGCACACGAGGTTAGGACAAGAAGTAATGGGTGGAAACAAATTAAGGAGGGAAGCAACTTAGAACTGAGGAGAAATTTTCTGACTGTTAGAACAATGAATCAGTGGAACACCTTGCTTCAGAAGTTATGAATGCTCCAACACTGGAAGTTTTTAAGAAGATGTTGGATAACCATTTGTCTGAAGTGGTGTAAGGTTTCCTGCCTAAGCAGGGGGTTGGACTAGAAGACCTCCAAGGTCCCTTCCAACTTTCTTATTCCATATTCTAGTTCATTCCCCAGGCGTGTCTTTCCTTCCTTCCCCCTGGCAAGTCCCACTTCCACGTAGCGTTTCTACTTTCCTGTTGGAGAACACCGGCTCCCATAGAAAGTATTAGGAAGGGGATCCTTCTGTTCAGAAGCAGCGGGAACTGCAAAGTAAGGGGTAGGGATTAAAAAAAACCTCCATCGAAAGTGCTGGCCCCAAGAAAAAAAGGAACCGGGGTTTTGGGGAAACGGATTTGGCTCTTCCCACGTTCAGAGGCGCTCAGGGCGAGAAAATCCTCCCCAAGGCTGCACTTTAGTAGTCCTTGTCTTCCCCGGTTGGGCTCCTGCCCACCCCGAAGTCCCAGGAGGCGCGGCCGAGTTACGCGGCGGGGCGAGGCGAAGCTACCTTCTCGGAGGGCTTCCAGCCGGCGCCCTGCCCGCGCACCGGGGCGTGCTCAGTCAGCCCTGCCGGATGGGAGGAGAGACCGGAGCCCAAGGGGCTGAACGTGGCTAAGCTTCCCGGCTCTATCGATCGGATCCTTCGGCGGGACGGGAGACGGAACGATGGCCGCGGCTGCTGCTCTGATCGCGGCGCTGCTCGGGCTGCTGCCCGCCCGGACGAGTACCGGCGCCTCCGGAGGGAGAAGCCAACCCGGAACGGCCCAGGTGAAGGCAGGCGGGCGGGCGGGAGGGAGGCCGGAGCAGGTCTTAGTCAGCCGGGAAGGGAGAGAGAGAGAGAGAGCGCGCTCTGTACATGCCCAGAGACACGATCCGCATTAGATCTCGGCCTACAGTCCCTTAAGAAGAAGGGGACTAGATAAGAGGTAACTTTCATCATAAAACTTACTTGAACGAGGCTGTGGTTCTAAAGGTTAACGATGCCATTCATACTACAGGGAAGTTTTCCTGATGTGTAGGTCTAAAATTCCTCCTTTCCCCCCTCAATATATTTTGTATTATTATTTTTAAAATTATACATTTATATTGTGTGTGAACAGAGTTGGTTCTGGGTATCATTCATATTAATTCAATTCACAATAACAATATTAATAATCTATATCACATTTCTCAAATTTAAGTAATCATCATTATATTGTTCAAACATACATATTCAAAAAATGCTTAACTCCTCATCTTCGTCTCTACCTTCATCTATATCTTTCTTGTTCTATCTAAACATTTCTCTCTTATATAGGAACAAATTTAACTAAGCTTCATTTATATTGATCCAATTCACGCTAACATTGCTGATAATCACATTGATCAAATCTATATATTTAGACATCTCTTCAGTACTTCAATTCTTATCCATAAAACTCCTCCTTAGAGAATATGGAAATTAAGCTGCTTGGAGAGCCCCCCCCCCGCCCCCCAGACTGGCATTCCCCATTCCTGTGTTCCTGATCTCTGACAATGCTTCCTTTGTGTAGAGAGGCTCTGTTAACTCTCTACCTTAATAATAACTCTTAGTAAGAGTGAATGTCCATAGAGATTCTCAGTCATCCAGGCCATGGTTGTCCCAAAGGTGCTTTTTTCTCCCAAGAAGCAACTGGACTTTCTGGTTTTTCTTTGAAGACGTTTCGCTTCTCATCCAAGAAGCTTCTTCAGCTCTGTCTGTTAGTAGGACTGTTCTTTGTCACTACTTTCCTCATTCCTTTTAAAGCCATTTAAACTAAGGGTCACCAACCTTTCAGACCTCAGGGACAACTAAATTCATAGTTTTAAATCCCTTGGACCACTAATACAAATTTTTAAAAAAAGATAAATAGTATTTCGTGCAATATAAAAATGCAAATAATTTTTCGGCGGACCACCACAATTTTCTCACACACAACCAGTGGTCCCCGGATCACCGGTTGAGGACCGTTGATTTACACTGATACCCATGCTGCAAGCCAGTTTGATGAAGTGGTTAAGGATCCAGGCTAGAAAACGGGAGACTGAGAGTTCTAGTCCCACCTTAATATACAGCTGAGCGGCCTTGAGCCAATCACTCTCAACCCTAGAAGAAGACAAGAGTAAACCATTTCTGGAAAAACCTGGCAGAATAAACTGCTGGGATTTATCCAGACAGTTGCCAGGAGTCAGTGCTGACTCAAAGGTGCCGCCCTCTACTGTGGTCAAAGCCAGAACTGCAAAGAGGAACCTGTGGAAAGGGCGATGTTTAAAAAAAAAAGATGGCAACCACAACCATGCAACTGAAGATATGTTCCAGTGGTGGGTTCCGGATCCCGTTGCAACTGGTATGGTGCAACGGGGCTGGGCGTTCACCACATGTACGCATGCAGAATTCTGGACCCCAGAAAGGGCTTTGGCTAAATCCTGATTAAAATGAAGGCATTAATTGAGCAGAAGGTATAAGCATCTGGATTATGAGGTTAAGCATCAGCACTGCAATCACCTGCCATATCTGTCTGGCTAGACCAGTGGCTATGAAAGTCATTCCATGGGCTAGCAAACAGGATTAAGCTAGAAGTTGGAAAACCAGTGAAAATAGGAGAGGTTAAGGCAGGGGTGGCAAACTCGATTTCATTGAGGGCTGCATTAGGATTCTGTTTGATTTGGGGGGGGGGCAGGTGGGCATGCATCCCAGCTCAACATCCCTCTTGTCCTGCAGCCCTCTGCCAGAGAAAACAGAGTCTGCAGGAGGCCGTTGCGGCTGAAAATGGAGTTCCCCTGAACTCCATTTTCACTGGCAAAGGCACAGTGGGCTGGTCCTTTGCTGTTTCCAGGGTAGTCCTGCAGGCCACATCTAAGCACCCCATGGGCCGGATCCGGCCCATGGGCCTTGAGTTTGGCACCCCTGGTTTAAGGGGTGCAAGTGTTACCCAAACAGCTCCATGTTCCCACTCATTGCCAGTCTTCTCTGTTCAGCATCAGTGTCACATTGTAGTTGGTTCCCAGACTGATAAGGATTTAGGAGACCATTATATAAACAACCAGCTGCCAGATTTCCTGTTACCAGCAAAGACACCTGCTGTAGAAAAGCTGTTTGACAGAAAATCAGAAAGCCTCCATCCTGTAACCACATGGGGACGTACTGGCTGTAAAGTCAGCTGCAAGTCAGCAGTAATTCTTGCAGCTCCATGAGAAAAGAAGCTCTGAGGAAATTGTGCTCGAAAAAGATGTGGCCCTTGGCTTTGAGACAGTTGCCAAAGAACTTGACAATCTGCCACCTGCAGCAGCTCATCTACCAGTGGGATAGATCCTGTGGAAGTGAGCACAGGACCTGAGGCTTTCGTTGAAATGACAAAACAAGCCACATGCCAATGCGATGCAGACTTCCTTTCTTCTGTGTATGCTTGCAACATTACTTATGCTTGCAAAGAGCTATGGTAGCGCAGTGGTTAGAATGCAGTACTGCAGGCTCTTCTGCCGGTTGCCTGCAATTTGGCAGTTGGAATCTCAACAAGCTCAAGATTGACTCAGCCTTCCATCCTTCTCAGATGGGTAAAATGAAGACAGAGTGTTGGGGGCGATAGGCTGACTCTGTAAACCACTTAGAAAGAGCTGGAAAGCATTGTGAAGCGGTATATAAGTCTAAATGCTAGTGCTAAGTGCTATTATGACACAGGTGAAAGAGGAATGGACCTTGTATCCTAATGGTGCAATGATAGTTTTGTCATTTGTCAACCTCTTGACCCCCTTTCCCACTCCTTAAATCTCTGGAGTAACCCTCCTAATTTGCAGAAAGCATCTGCTTAGAAATGCTTTTCCCAGCCTCTTTCTTTGGCATTACTACTTCATGTCCTAACAAGAACACACAGTTTAATTCTTGCTTTCTCCGCTGTCTTGTAGGAACAAAGAGCTTCTCTCCCGCCCTCTCTAAAATTCTGGTCCTTGTGGGGCTACTTGTCATCCAAGCAGCAGTCAGTCTTGACAGGCCTGGATTTGTGGTTTCTGGGGGCAGCCTCTGGTCTTAAGCCCGGAGAGAAATTAATGAGGCGAGTGGGTTGTCTGCATCTATGCGTCTTTCCTTTTTTTTTTTTTGCCGCCCCGTTTCACAGAACAAAAGGGAGAGATATCTCTTCAGTTTAGGGCATGCTTTGCAGTGTGTTTTCCCATGATGCTCACTTCTTTATTTCCTGCTGCTTCGGAGTATTCTATAGAAAATGGAATTTCCTCCTTGGGGAAATTAGGGGGTGGGGGGGAAGAGATCCAGATGTACTTATGGCTCCAGAATCAAGAACAGAGCTGTTAAAAAGCTGTTTTGAAGAAGAGTTGAGAGCCCTAATTTGAGTTGAGTCATGAAGCAACTTTTAATCCTGATGTTATCTGGCCAGTTTATAGCATTAGGTTTTCTCTGCCAAGTGTCAATTTGGAACTATGTGCAGAGAAGGGAACTCAATGTTTATTTTTTATAAACACATTTTATCTCTTGCTCAGCCTTACAAAACTTACCAAATTAGACATTCTCCCCAATTAAAACTGGATCAGTTTCACTCCTTGAAATGTTGACTGTACAAGTTAATTATCACACATTTAAATTCTTTTCATGATTGCTTTGAAATCTTCTGCTGACTTCTGTTAAATAAGATTCCTTGGCAAACCTTTTCAGCACCAAGTTCCAAAACAGAAGCGTGTGCTCCATGTCCGGGGCTGCAGAACTGGGTTGTCGATGGGGATGTCCACCACCCCGATGGGATCAGGGAGGTGCGAGCCCCCCCCAAAAGGCCAGACGAAGCTGGTGCATGTGCACCGGCCAGCTGGTCTTCGTGCACCCATTCGTGCCAGAAACCAGAAGACCAGGTGGCCACCACACATGCACATCAGAATTGGAAGATCATCTGCCTGGTGCAAGCATGCACACCAGGCAGCTGCTGTTCCGGTTCCTGGCGCTCCCGCACACGTAAAGACCAACTTTACGAACTTTACCAACTTCAGCGAGCTGAAACCGGGAAGGCGGTTATAGGTTGTCTGAAGAGGAACAATACCACATTCTTTCTACTGTGACTTTGACATTTTCTGTTGCTCAATCTCGGTCTAAGCAGCTGAATTTCCTCCTGCTCCCGATTAACCTGACTACTGCGGCCACATAAAACAATTATTTTATTTGTATTTCTGTCAATATGCACATACAACCTTTCACCTCTGCTTCCAAGGCACTTTACAAAATCTTACAAGAACAGACATTTTGTACTGTGGAAGAGTGAGGGAAGCGATAAAAATAAGAGAGTAAATAATATATAATACCATAGGTATGTATATAATTACATATTATCCACATACATGCACTAATATAAAAACAATCATCATCAGCTAAACCCATTGCAGGATGAGGACTTTTTAATGGAAAGATCTTACTAAGCTAGTCCAATAAAGTTGGCATAATAGATCTTTTTTGACTATTCAATCGAAGGCCTAAAGTCACCCAGTCAGTTTCTGTGTCTAAGAAAGGATTAAAATCTGAGTTTCCCTCTCAGCAATATTTTAACTATTACATTATATTGTCTCTTGCACATGTGTGCACGATTAAAAAACAACAACAATACTTTGATTTTCTACAAGGATTTTTCCCTCCCCATTACAACTGAAGCTATGGAAGTCTTCTAATTACCGGTCAGGAAAATGGCTTCCTTGCACTGTTTATAGTTTCCCATAATGATACAAATCTGGTAGCGGTCACCCATTGTTATGAGGGCATTTCTCAACATCATTACAATTGTATCCATGGTGATCTTGTCACAGCGATTTCCTGAAATGCTGATGAATATGCATAACTAGTTTTCTCGGCAGAAGGCATTCTCGTTAGTTGTTTTCACATGGTAGAGACTAGGGAAATTCTCTGGGTTATACATTTGCTGTTGCACCCCAATCTGGGTGATCACTAGGGTCAACTCAAAGGCACGCATACCCATCCACCCACAATTCCATATACAAACATATCTTTTGACAAACTCTACACAAGCATACCAACTGACTGGCCTTATATGATCCATCTATCCTGTCCATCTGTCCACCCACCCACCTATCAATCCATCCATCCACCCAAACCACCCAACCCATCTATCCATCCATCCATCCATCCATCTATCCATCCATCCATCCATCCATCT